CCCCCCCCCCCCTTATCTGAAGGTCTGGATTCGCCCCTGATATTTCCACTTTTTTATAGACTGCCTGACAGCTGGTCAAAAAGGAGAATATTTTTCACCTTTCAGAAAGCATAAACAGTGGGCGAAACGAACAGTGTCACTTGAATTTCCTTAGGTACTTTCGTCATTGCACAACGTGTTCCTGAGTGGAAAAAATACAATTCAAACATTTGGAAATTAAAATCAATTTGATTTTTGCTTTTTTTGACCCAGGGAAAGGATGGATCTCCTCATTTGATCTTCTCATTACGGTATCTTTTACTTTTAATTGTACTTCATTAGAACTCCCCCATTAATTGCTAAATTAAAGTATTCTTATATATATATTCGTCTATTCGTCTATTTCAAACTCAAGATCTTCTATTTTCTTTCAGTACCTCTGCTTCGATTCTCAGAATAATTTTTAGAAACCAAGCTGGGCGTCGGTTAACGTTTTGTGTTATTTCTGCCTTACGCTTTAAAAATTGACGATTAATTTAGCGCACATTCATTGACAACTCGCCCAGGAGAAGAAGATCGAAGTAGCAATTTTATATTCTTTTATCGATCGGACAGTTATTTAGTTTCACAGTAAAATAATGATGAACAAGGAAAAAACTGTAACGTGGTTATCTCTTAACAGATGTGTTTACTTCTCAGCCTTACTAATAGGTTGAAGTTTTATAATAACAACTATATTGTGTTTTCGAAAAGTTGTATTTAGAAGAAAACCTTTCGTCTACAAAGCATCAGTGTTCATTGAATTGAGTTGTTGATAGACCGATGGAATAATCATAGTCTGCGCCGGTATACAATTAAAGAGGGAAGGAACTTAAGTGAACAAAAAAGTTATTTGGTTTTGCTTTTTATGCTAATGAGCTGGTTGACTGACTGGCACCTCTATCGCTTCTTGTCGCTGGTTGTTTTCTGAACTTCTTAAATATAAAATTTCCAAAAATGCGTGGCGAAATTTCTCCATGCGCCAACAGTAAATAATGGGGTTGCACAGGGCACCTAACATTATTAACGTTGCCACCCAACTCGCCATACAGTTTAAAAAACGCCCTTCTAGATTAACAGAAAAATACACGATAACAGAAATTATTGATGGTAGGTATGTTGCAATTAGCGTAATAAGGATGATTCCTAGAACTTTGGTGGCTTTGTTATTTTTCCTAATTGTCGTAATTTCTTCTACGCTTAAATGTTCAATCTCAATTCGTTGTTGGCGTCGGGTTTCCGAGAAAATGTACAAATAAATTCCTACGATGGCAATTACGGAAATCGAGGCGAAACTAGTAACCGTTATGGTTGATATGGTCAAATAAATACTGTAAATGTTTGTGTCACTGTTTACTGCAGCAAGGATGCTTTCTTGAGTTGTCACAAATATCGAGAAAGCAAACGCTGAAATCACAGCGACGGTTACTCGCCGTGTTGTGACAATCTCTCGATACCTTAATGGTTTTTTAATGGCAATGTACCTATCAGTAGTTATTAACACAAGATGAGTTAAGGTCGCCAAGATATGCCATATTAAGGATAACATGCTTGCTCTTTCCAAAGCTCCACAAAATGTGCCAGTTTTCAGTAGTCGCTGCCCTTCTGCCGCTATTCGTATCGGCTGTCCCAGCAGCCCTGTCAAAAGATCCGCCCCGGCCATGCACGCCAGAAGGATTGTCGATTCATTTCGCAACTGTTCCCTTTTTGCGACAGCAAAGATCACCAGAGCATTCAACAACACAGTTGGTAAAACTGATATGGAATTGATGCTGATTATAGCAACCAGATGGTTGTAGGTACCTTCTGTCAGCAGGAACTCATCTCGCCAAGCTACACCCTTCAAATACGGACATTCCGCTGGTTTAAATAATCCGTTGGACGAAGAAGTATTCGCCATGTTATTTTTACGTTAAGGGTGTTATAAAAGTATACAGACTCTTAGAAAAGGCGCGATGCGAACAAAATCAAAACGGTTTTTGAATCACAACTAAATTTTTCGCCCTTTCTTTATTTTATTTTTCATCAACAAAGCTTGAATTTCATTGGTCAGTTTACGTAAAAAAATGATTTCCGTTTCCGAAAGGGACACAAAGCTGCTATTGTGCATCTAGAGGCTGACTATCTTCTTACTCAGTGTATTTTAGTGTTATTTATTATATGATTAGTTAAAACATTTATTCCCAAATCCGGCTTTAAAAACGGAAGGTCGATTTTCATGCAATCGTTTTCAGACTCCTCTTTTCGTAAAGTCTGCCTAATTTTGTGGATTAACACTCAATTGTTTCCTGAAAGGTGCAATTTTCTTTGAACATGAAATTTTCCAAAGAAGATCTGATGCAGATACCTACTCTGAGTTAATTGTTCGAATAACGTTGTTATAGCAAAATAAGAAAAAAAGAGAATTAGAACTGCTGAGTAGGAATAAATTATTGGCACGCTCTCTACATTCAGATCAGGATCTGATCTGACCAACATTTTTACAGACAGTGGCCAGTTTACACTGAATTTATCCTCTCTAAACTCAGTTAATGTCAAATTGAAATATTATACCGTGCTGCTGCTGAAAAGTGTTCAGGATTATCAAAATATCAAACGTAATTTGCATGACTACTGGATTAATTCTTATTCGAGTGTGAACTGCGGAAATAAAATTTTTTAAATGAAGATATGATC